GAGCGTCGTTCCAGAAGTGACACGAGTGTGTTTAGTCCAAAAGCAGAGGTAGCTGATGTCCCTGAGCTACGGGGGAATTCCAGCACAGGCTTGTTGCATCTTAATACCTACATCCAAGGAGCATCTAATCCAGTAGGATTTTTAGTGTTGGCCACTGCAGTTGTATTGTCCCCTTAATGTTATAAGAATACTTGATTTAAATTTAAAAAAAAACCAGAATAAACACAAATCAAAAGCCTAGCCACCCCAATCCATCCCCCCAGATCAGAAAGACCCAGTGTGGTGTGTGCAAGTGCCAAGCCCTTGCACAGTTGCTCCCATATGAAGAGTTAGTGACTGAAGAGGTGTGACGAGTAATTTATTATTTTGGTGGTGTTTTTTTAAATCCAAAGAGGATTTTCTGTTTTATACTGTTTTACTGATGTGCTAGAACTGTTCCATCTTCAACTGACAGCATTAAGGATGTTATGCATACTGAACTAGTAATGAAGTTGTACAGAAGAAGATGTTAACTTACAGAACCTATTTTATTGTTAAAGTAAAAGCACCTTGAGAAACTGTTGAGAGAGTTGGACTTAGTCTGTCCAGCAGATGAAATGCTAGCTTCCTGGGGTTTTGTCTCTTTTTAAGCATTTAAGCATAGTTTGGCTTCCAGGCAACTCTGTGGTAACGAGCTTCATGGATCTGTCCTGGAAAATGACTGATCCAGTGTTTCTAGACTTGCACCCAGCTGTTACCAGCATGTTGATGCTCGTATTGAATTTGAGGACACGAGCGTACACCTTCCAGCAAAGTTGTTAACAGAACTGGCTGAGCTGTTGTAAACAGCACTAAAAGCAAGGTTTGCAGCTGAGCTCTGCTTCTTTGGAAGCTTTTCCTCTCATGGTTTGCATAATCTAAGGACAAACTGAGATGAATAAAATTGAAGACAATTTCTCTTTAAAGCTTTCTGTTAATTATATGGGTGGATTTGCTGCATATTAACTGCCTTACCTACAGTGAAAATGAGGCTATGATCAACTGATGTGTCTCAAATGTAACAACAAGGAAGGATGCTAAATAGATCTGCAATTATAAACCATGATTTCATGTTTATTTAAGATTAAGCAGTTAGCTTGGATTTCTGCATTTTTCCCCTGGGCCTTAAAGAAAAGCAATTACTTCAGACTCATTTAACTCCATATTAAGAGGGAATGGTCTTTGTAACCAAAAATCAAATGCTGTCAGCTCTAACATGAAAATGGTACACAGCTTTTCAGTCAGAATACTTTGTCCAAAACAGTGAGAGATCTAAAAGGCTGAAATGGAACATAAGTAATGGAGTCAAATGTACAAAGTTGTAGGGGCATATTTTAAGAATTCCCTTCCAGCACATAGCTAAGCCTCTGTTTGGAGGAAAAAAGTGATCTAACATATGAACGGGGGTATAAGAATCAAACTCAGATGTTGGATAAGCTTTGTCAGAGCCAACTAATGGTCATTACAAACAAGTGTTCTTAGGGAAAGTTCAGTAAGAATTGAATTAGAGGTAACTAAGGAATGTTTTAGGTTTTGGTAGCCTTTCCACCAGCATTGACTGAATAGGGGAGTGAAAGCAGTAAAACCTCTTAGTGCTCTGTTGGCCATGGAAATTCATTTTAGGCTGTTCTGTTAAGTGACTGTGCTAGTTAATACCAGTTATCAGGCTTGCCTGTGCAAGTTTGGTTTTGTTTGTGTTTTAAAGTAAGATTGAAATTACAAACATGAAAAAACAGCCACGTGTGGCAACTTTGTTTCAATGCTTTGTCTTTACAGATGAAAAAGAGAGGTTTGACCCCACTCAGTTCCAGGACTGTATTATTCAAGGTTTAACTGAAACTGGCACTGACTTGGAGGCAGTAGCAAAGTTTCTTGATGCTTCTGGTGCAAAACTTGACTATCGTCGCTATGCAGAAACGCTTTTTGACATCCTGGTGGCTGGTGGAATGCTGGGTAAGTCCCTCTGATAGATCTGCTGTCAGCCTTTATTCACTTGACTTTACAAAAGCACTCTTTTCTTTCAGAGTAAAAACTCAGCGAAGGAGCCCTCTGAGTATGTAGAACGGAGTTTAAGTTACTGTGGTAAACTGTCTGACCATCTTGGTGATTGCCTGAGCAGTCAGATTACTGTACAAATACTCAGTATACCCTCCTGCTGTTTCGTTTGAGTCAGCTGGCATTCTTCAAAGTGTAGACTGCACAAACTTGGCTTAAAGGAAAATATATTGCATTATTATTATTGTGTCCAGCTCTGGGGCTCCCAGCATAAGAGACACGTGGACATGCTTGAGTTGGTCCAGAAGAGGCCACAAAGATGATCAGGGGGCTGGAGCACCTCCCCTGTGAGAACAGGCTGAGAGAGCTGGAGAAGAGAAGGCTCTGGGGAGAGCTTACAGCAGCCTTCCAGTACTTGAGAAGGAGGGTACCAGAAAGCTGAGGAGGGACTCCTGACCAGGGAGCGTAGGGACAGAACAAGGGGTGACGGTTTCAAATGGAAAGAGGGTAGATGTAGATTAGATACCAAGAAGAAATTCTTTTCTGTGAGGGCGCTGAGACCCTGGCACAGGTTGCCCAGAGAAGCTGTGGCAGGAAGTGTCCCAGGCCAGGCTGGATGGGGCTTTGAGCAACCTGGTCTGGCAGGACGTGACCCTCCTGTGGCTGGGGAATGAGATTGTTGACAATAATGAGGTCACAGGCTCTGGCAGATGTTGGGGAGTGAGAAATGAGAGGGGCGGTTGAGTCAGTAGGAAATGCAGGGAACTAAGGAAGTGAAATCTGATGACAAAGGTCTTGTAAACTCATGGGTGTGCTGTGTATAGAGAGCAGAGCATAACAGATGCTCACCAACCAACCAGGTAGAGAGGTAGATAAAGCTAAATGAGGTTGAAAAGTAGCTAAAAAAAAAAAGTGGTACTTCTAGATTTAGACTTTACTTTTCCTACTTGACTAAATACTGTTTATTGCGAAGGGGTTCAGATGTCAGGGACCCACTGAAAATACATGCTTTTTATGTTGCCTTTATGCAGTCTGTCTAGACTGGAAAAGTTCTCTCAAATTTTGGTGTTTGTTATGCAATAGTTGGAGAGGGGGAGGACTTAAATGAGAAATTTGGCAGTTGCAGAGGGTTTTCTGTAGCGTAACAGAAATAGAATTCAAATGACCTAAATGCATAGGGGGAGGAGAGGAAATATGTGATTCTGGGCTGCGATCTGACTGCGGATGGTGGTTCTGCGGGGGGTTGGCTGGTTTGCGAGGATGCATCTGTTGCATGTAGAGAAGCCCTTCGCACCAGTGCTGTAGAAATGTTGCGTGAATTGCGCAAACTAATACCAAAAAGCAAGGCTTTAAAAATGATTTAACTTAATATGCCTGCTTACCTTAAAGCTGCAGATTGGGCAGTGTCACGTAGACTGAAGTTACTGTGATGTTGCTTTGGCCAGAGGCTCTTCTGCTGATGTTACAAGAGCTGGTAGCGTGACTAAGTAAACTTACCTGCCACTTGGAGCATCTCTGCTTGCAATTGTTAATGTACAGAGTGTTACAATCTGTAGGTTTACATCCAAGAATCATAACCAGTGCCGACTGTGTTAGGAAGTGTTCCTTCTAGGAGTGAGGCTGAGAGGGGAGCGAAAAATCCGTCACGGCATTAACGGGGTGGCCCTTTACTCAGCAGTGTCTCTGTAATGAGAAGCTAATTAGACAAGCTTTGATCTTTTAGTCAGACAAGCCAAAATAAAAACTCTCAGGCTGTTGTCTTACTGGATTTTAGTATTATTGCCATTAATACTTACCTCCATCTTTTAACTCGTGTTTCTGACTAATACATACCTAAAGGATCTCCCAAAATATGTGGGATGGTATAGAATTGGTGATGAGGTATCCTGGCACTGGAGTTGGCGACTCGAATTCAGTCTAGTCAGTGAAGCAGCCTGGCTGCCAGTCAGATGACTATTAAGTTGAAAAGGGCGAAGAAGCATCTTCTCATTAGCAGCTAAAAGGACACCACATTGCATGTTATGGGTATTGGAACTCTTACTGTGGAAACTCCTAAGTGCTCTCACTGGAGAGCAATGTGACTAATGCCGAAACCCTTCTTTAGCCCCAGGTGGTACCCTGGCAGATGACATGACACGCACAAACGTCTGTGTGTTTGCAGCACAGGAAGACCTAGAAACCATGCAAGCATTTGCTCAGGTTAGTTCTGATACAGGTACAATTTAACTTGAAGTGTTTACCGGTCAAAACTGAAGTGTTTGTGTAGTTTGAAGTTTAGGTAAAAGTAATGCATGGCTTTAAGACGCTTACTAGAAGTGGTAGAGTAGCACTGTTCTAAGCCTACAGTGCTCTGAAGAGTTCAGACCAACTTCACTGAACTGCGTTTTTTTTAAAATTCTAGTTAAGTGATAGTTCATAGCAAAAAATAATATGCTGTATCTTCTTAGGTTTTTAACAAGCTAATCAGGCGTTACAAGTACCTGGAGAAAGGCTTTGAAGATGAAGTCAAAAAGGTATGCAGTGTGTCCTTATCAGCAGACAAATAAACCTTTTAGATGGTGCTAGTTAATTGCTCTCTACAGAAGAGTTATATCCTATGGTGGGTTATTAAAATAGAACACTTTGAAGTTGTTAATAGGAGAACAGCCAGTTTGTTTGACAAGTGGGGAAGGCCACCAGCAAAACAGTGCTTCTGTGAGTTGAGTAGCTCGACTGCAACAGAAGTGTCTGACACTGAGGCCGCAGCCAGCCTCTGGTGAGAGACGGTGAGAGTTTTATGGCAACTCTTCTGACTTCTTCTTGCAGTTGCTGCTGTTCCTGAAAGGGTTCTCAGAGTCCGAGCGGAACAAGCTGGCCATGCTGACGGGTATTCTGCTAGCCAACGGGACACTTAATGCTTCGATTCTCAACAGTCTTTACAATGAGAACTTGGTTAAAGAAGGTAAGTGTTGTCCAACTCTCCCTTTAGGGAAGGATGCTGCGGGGCAGAACTACCAGCAAGTAGGTGGAAGCTGTGATGACAGTCCACCCGTGCAGCTCACTAGCTTCCTCTGCCGATAGATTCACTGCAGGATCAGCAAATGTAGATGTGCAGCCTGGAAGGTCTTGCCTCAGGTTTCAGAAAACTACTGTTTTCAGAAAGCTCGTGCATGACTCCTGCATGGTGCTGGGATGGCTGTAACCAGTGTTGCCCAGCAAGGCAGGACTAGATTTTGGGAAGGGACCTCTCAGGGTGCAGAACAGGCATCACGGCTCTAGGCTCCTTCCTGAATACTAGCAAGGGGAGTTGAGTACAGGGAGGCCTTTGTGGTGCCAAGTGGTAAGAAGAGTCTGGCGTGCCAGAGGCTGCAGTACCCCGAGATTGAGGTGCTGCTGGATGTGGCAGGGCTGCTGCTGTCCTGGGCAGGGCATCATCAACCAGTGCCCTCTGCCCACAGGCCCCGGCATTCCCTTTGGTTTGAATTTCAGTAATAACGGTACTGTTCTGGTTGCACAGGTGTTTCTGCAGCTTTTGCAGTCAAGCTGTTCAAATCATGGATAAATGAGAAAGATATTAATGCAGTGGCTGTCAGTCTTCGTAAAGTCAACATGGACAACAGGCTGATGGTGAGTACCGCTGGCGTTTCTCATTGACTGCTTACGCCAGTTTAGTAGGTAGCATTTACCAGCAAAGTGCTCAACACATTTCTTTAGTGAAAGAGTTGTTGTAAACTTTGTCTTCAGGAACTCTTCCCAGCCAACAAACAAAGCGTCGAACACTTCTCCAAGTACTTCACTGAAGCAGGACTAAAAGAACTGTCCGAGTATGTTCGGAACCAACAAAGCATAGGAGCTCGGAAGGAGCTGCAGAAAGAACTGCAGGAGCAGATGTCACGGGGAGATCCATTCAAGGATGTAAGTTTTTGTCTGTAGATGAGATGGAGGTACCTTTTCTGCAGAAACTTAGCTCAAATTATCTAAAATACAACAGCGCTCAGTACTAATGTGAAGAAGATACATGCCTAATGAAATGCTGAACTTAAAACGTGTAGCTCTTGCTAAGAATTAAAATTACAGCCAGGGTGTTCTGGTACTAGCTTTTTATCCTTCCCTTGATGCGCTCATCCTGTGATGTGATGAGGGTGGGCTGTTGTGCTTCTGAAGGCTTCTGGGTTGTGTTTAGATCAGAAGTTTGAGTTTAGCTTAGTGTCTGTGTGGCCCACATGCTGACTCTTGTTCTGCCGGGCAGATAATCCTGTACGTTAAGGAGGAGATGAAGAAAAACAACATCTCAGAACAGACTGTGGTAGCCATAATCTGGTCAAGTGTCATGAGCACGGTGGAATGGAACAAAAAGGAGGAGCTGGTAGCAGAGCAAGCCATTAAGCATTTGAAGGTATTGTAACTTAATGTAATTGCAGATTTCTCCACCCATGGGGTAGGGCTCGGGCTTCGCTCTTGTCTCCAACCCCATTTTAAATGAGTTAGAGCCTACAGCGCCCCCAACACAGATGGTGTGAGAGTAGGAGTTCTTTCCCCTGTAACTGTGGTGTTACTGTCCCAGTCACTGAGGCAAACGCAACGCAACTTCTGCAGAGACACTTGGGGTGGGAGTTGGGATGCACATTTCCAAGCAGTGGCTGATGGAAACTGTGTGAAGCCCGCTTGGTGGGGTGGTAGGAGTGAAGTGCTTGGTGTGCGCTCATGTGTCATTCCTGTTACAGCAATACAGCCCTCTACTCGCTGCCTTTACTACCCAAGGTCAGTCTGAGCTGACTCTGCTGTTGAAGATCCAGGAGTATTGTTATGACAACATTCACTTCATGAAGGCCTTCCAGAAAATAGTGGTGCTCTTCTATAAAGGTAACTTCTGCAGGGTTGTAGTTTTGGGGGGTTGGTTTTTTTACAGCCTGCTTTTGCAGAATGTTTCAGTCCTGATATGAACTTTAGAGAAGATCAGTGCTGGAACACCCCACTCCACGAACTGAATTTTATACCCTGCATTTTCAAAGATGGAGAGTCACATGGAAAGGTGGATGCAGCTGTCCTCAGCATATGGGGAAGCGCTCCTCTGGACATGGGGGCTGCCTGTCCGCAAGATTTTAACAGTTGTGGTAGACCTAAGCTGAAGTTTGGTTTCAAGACTCTTTAGCCCCTTTAAGTTAGGGAGAGTTCTGTGTGGACATTGACTGTGAACAGCCAGAGACCAAGGGCACCAAGGGGTGCTGCAGGCTCTCTGTGGACTGGCCGTTGAAAGGTGTTACAAGCAAACAGGCCGGGCATGTGTGGAAGCACCAGAGGAACATAAGGAAACTTGCCGTGGTGTAATTCAGGTTTTAAAGACTGTGTCTGTTATTAGCTGCTAACTGAAGCACGCTGTCACAGCTGGCTGTGCAATATGGCAGCCTGGGCGGGCGTGGGAATGCAGCTCCTAGCTGCCTGCGCCCGGTGTTGCAGAACACCCGGCAGCTGCTCTGAAATGCACGGTCAGGGAATTTTAAACCTGGAGGTGCTGCCTGTGTCTGG